GAGAGAGAGAGAGAGAGAGAGAGAGAGAGAGAGAGAGAGAGAGAGAGAGAGAGAGCGAGAGAGAGAGAGAGCGAGAGAGAGAGAGAGCGAGAGAGCGAGAGAGAGCGAGAGAGAGAGCGAGCTCAGGTGTTTTTGGGAAACTGTAACTAAGTCTGTAGCATAACTGAAATGTTCTTGGTAATCCTAAGGATTTGTGGTCTATGGAAAGGAAAAATGCAGTTTGCAGGTATATTTAGCTAGTGATGCTGGTACAAACTGTTTCAACAGGTATATTAAAAGCAATAATCTAATCATAGAATTTATAACGTCATACTGTAAAACACTTGCTTCCAGTGATGTTTTTTTACTTTACACACCAACACAACACATCTGTTTTGCAAATCAGGTTAAGAGTCGTAACTTTTAGTGCCATTAGCTGTATTTCAATCTGATGTCTTTCCTGCTAACAGCATTTTCAAGACAAACTTTTACAAGTGATGAGATGAAAACAGAAGGACGGCAAATTAATTTGATCAAACTGGTTTTTATATTACAGTCCTTTACAGCCTTTAAAAAACACATGATGACTGTCCTACCCAAAATTGGAGGCTCGGCTGCAGATTTTCTCCAGCTTCCGTCTGAGGTCTGGGTCCAGCTCCTCCAGTGTGTGGGGCTCAGGACTGGGGGCTTGCTTGGGTCCAACATACAAAACATCCAATGCTGTGTTGGGAAAGTCCACCTGTTGGTAACAAAGATACCTACATTAGGACTGGTTTGTTTTGTTTTTTTTTCCTGACCACACTTCAAAAACAAGAGAAACTTGTACTACTGTCAATACATTCCTGAAGCTTTACTGTAACATTAAGACAAAAACAGATCATCTGCTTTAATGAATGTGTGTACAAGTACAGGAGACAAGAAAGCTGGCTTTTAACACTGAATTACATTAGCTATACAAGGTTTTCTTGTAGAAACCGTTTTAGTTTGGGTTCAGTCAATGCAAACCACACAGAGCTGCATGTGATTTCATTTGGGCATCGTTATCATAACGTATGTGTGTGCAGTAAGCACATTGCTGGTCCTGTTATGTAGGAGGCAAATTAAATCAACATATCTAAGGACTAAACCACATACCATTCCTGTATTTTTCATATCGCAATATACATTGTAGAGTTAGAGAAAAATTGCAATGTCAGTTTTTTCCGACACTACACAGCCTTAATAAGCATGTAGCCGTTAAAACAAAACAGGTGGAAATTATACATAACTACTAGAGGTGAACTGATCGCAGTTTTCTGGTCAATCACTGACCATTAAAAAGTCTGACCTGCTGATTTTGATTTAGGCTGAAACAGATTTTTTTTAAATAACTGACCCTGTAAGGTGTTATACGGTCAGAGCGAACCTTCAATGTCCCAATGTTATTTTATTGAAAAGCAACGAACAATACCTTTCAAACAACACAGACTTGATTTTACTGGACATTAGGTAGTGCTCACAAAAGTGGACAGTGGCAGATTTTCAGACCTTTGTTGAGGTAAATGAGAAGCCAATCTCCCAAAATGAATGAAATCGTGCAGATGAATCGACTGGCTGATTTATCAGTACACGTCTGCAGTTAACCTTGGCAGATAACTAGAATCTAACAATTTTCAGCTCAACAGGGAGGTACTAAAAAAAAATCAAGTTTCTCTAAGTTTTTCTTTTCAAGTCAGTGACTGAAAGCAACAAAGGAAGGTGCTAATTTGCATCAGCTTCGCTTTCTAAGAACTTCCCTTTTGTTTGACAGTGACAAGTTTCTCACACTTCTCGTCTGCTATTCGTCAGGGAATCTAAAGGCCCCTGCATACTAACTCCGAACTGCCAAAATGGGTTCGGATTGTCGCAGTTTCATGACGAAAATTGCGTCATTCTGTTCGGGTTGCCGGCATTTCAGCAGCTCCTCGACACAACCCACTGGTCGAAGTTTTTACGCCCCTCCACATAAGAACTTATTGTGTGATTGGTCAGAAGTTCGTGGGAGTGTTTGTGCTGGAAGCACGCAGATGCTGTATTTTGTTTTAACTGCTCGCTTCAAACAAACAAAACAAAACAAAAAAAAGGTGACTCGCTTCATGAGCCGACTATTGTAGCAGGAAGAGGCGATTTATAAAGATAGTCAAATGGCCAAAAAACACGTGGATGGAGATAAAACAGGCATTTTGCACAGTGGAATCTAACTGATAAAAACTTTGGAGCTTTAACCACAACAGATTTGTGGGTAAATAACATTGGGTGATGAGTCTCAGACTTTTTTTTACACATTAACTGTGTTTCCATTGACCTTGAAAATGCGCAAATTAGAATTTCGACAATAAATTTGCTCAATGGAAACACGTCAAATTTGGAAAAAAAATTATGTTTTTCAAAAAAAAAAATGGTTTTGCGCTAGGATGGAGGTGGTTTTTCGGCTGTATCGAAATTGATGTATTACGCAAAACTGCAATGGAAACACTTTTTTCGCATCACGGGAGTCACATGACCAAGAACCGGCTGTTTCTGCTGGCGAAAAAGATGAGAACGAAGAAGACAACAGGAAGTAGAAGTAGTAGTAAAATCACCAACCTTGTAAAAAAAAAAGTAGTAAAATCACCGACTATAATTTCCCAAAAACACAGCATACGTAGCTGTTCCAAAGTATAAGGGGCTTGTCACTCGAAATCCTCGATAAGACGCCGATGTCTCCTCTGACTGCTGATGATGAGCACTAGTGTCGTGGTAGCAATATGCTATGTGTTTATATCCATGGCCGCCAAGTTTGTAATGACTTATTGCGAGAACAAACATATTCACGCGTAACTTTAATTGCATTTCTTACTTAATGGAAACGCCGCTATTGCAAAGCTGTGTTTTTTCGACATTAGAATATCGACAAAGTTTTGTGCACATTTGCAATGGAAACAACTACTGTGGACTTCAGCGGGAGGAACCCCCCTGTAGTGACGTATGCTGCAGCGGGAGGGGTTTCCCCAGGAGCTCGGCACGGGGTGTCTCAGGGAATATGAAAGGTATGTGCAAAAACAAACACCGAAAAACCGCGTGACTGCGCATCGACTGTTCGGCGTCAGAGGGAGTATGCAGAGGCCTTTATGGTGCATATAAAATGAGCTTTATAAAGGTAACCAAGGTAGCTCCTGAAACGTTTTCCGTAAGGTTAAAAGTTAAAAGTGCTATTTTTACAGAAATTCTTTAAAAAGCAAAAAAATCCTGAACAGTGCTGAAAAATGATGTAATAGTGTTGCCGCACAAAATCTTGAGTTGATGCAACAAAAACAACACAAACTCGTTTAACTTGTTTATGTAACCCATATGTTCTCAATCACAAAGCCTAAACAAACAAGAAAAATGTTTTTGTCTTCAAACACGTATTACTCTGACACAGTGATGAGCTTCTAGTACAACAGATCATTCTAACATGTTAAACAGCATTTTGTTGCATAATAAAACCATGTGACGAACCTGCAGTATGATTCTTTCTGTAGGTAACCTCCTGCGGCTGCTTGTAGGAGCAGCAGCAGCAGCAGGTGCTCCCAGTGGAGATGTCCACAAGCACAGCAGCCTGGTGCCTCCTGCGAGAACTCTAGAAAACACACTCAGCAGGTCACAATAACACAAAAACAACCAGAGAAAGAAACATTACAAATATTGTAACCATTAAACGAGTGCGTTGACATCTCATTAAGCTTATACATCTCAAAGATATGATCAGATTGTTAAATTGAAACAAGTCGAGCAGAGCCTGGTTAAACTGTTCTGATCTCCTCACCGTCTGAAGTCAAAGAGGGGCATAGAGACCTTGCCCAGAAACTCTGGAGCTTTCCTCTGTTTGTTGGAATCTGGTGAGCCGTTGGCATTCTGGTTCAGCACTCCGAACAAAGTCAGGCTCAGGACCGACTCCAGCGGGAGCACGGCTACTGCGATGGGGAAAATAATCCTTGGAGAGAAGAGGATGATGTGAGCAGAGTGAAGAGAGAGTGATAACAGCAGACTTTAAAACCTTGAGGAAATTTAAAAAAAAATGAATGTGAAAATCAAAAGGCAGGACTTACAGTTCATCCCATTTGATGTGGTAGAAGAAGTTTTTGTATGTTCCCACTCGCTTCGAATGAACTGGTTTAAACAGGTTCTTTCCATTGTGGGTGAGAGAACACATCAGGAAGTACTTCTCATAGCTGAAACAACACAACAAACAACACTAATGTGAATTTTTTTTGTCTGCAAAAGCACCATCTGAATTGGCAACAGGATCTGATCAAGTTTCATCTATAAGAACACTAATGATTAGGGTGATTAGATGTCCCAAACTGGGCGGGACTGTCCTACACGTTGCAACAAAGTGCCACATTTGAGCGGGGAAAATTACGAAAAGTCAAAAAATAATAATAATAAATCCACAAATGTTATTTAGTGGCTGCAATTTGCCTCCTTATTGCTGTATCTCTGCCTCTTTTGTAGAAGGAGAGAAGAGAAGAAGGCATGAAGGAAGGGACGCAGCATCAGCTGTCAATCACAACGCGCAGCAGCATACTGCTCTCCTGCACGCTGATGTCACTGTGCTAAAAATATAAATATATACAAACACGGCAAGGGAATGGATTGGACTCATGCAGAATGTAATTTTTATTTTTTTTTACTTTCACAAAAAATAAAATAAAATAAAAATTGGAATAAAAAAGTAGGCCTACATTTTTATTTTTAAAATCCTTAAAAACACAGTAACAGCATTAAAAGCCAATTATTCTCCACTAATTAGGAGAATAATGAATGTAATGCGAGATCTATAATATATAAAGAGCTATGACATCATAACATTGGTGATGTGTCCCACACTGTACCTCGTAAGCATCTTTTTTTGTCCCACACTCAGTTGTTCGGGAAGCTGTTTGCAGGTACTACAATAGTTAAATGAAGTTTTGTCACTTTCATTAGTCCACCATACATAAAACCACAGACAGATGTGAATGGCAACAAACAGAGTTAAAAAAAACATGAAAAGAAGTTTTTTTGCCCAACATATGTTTGATTTTTCAATTATGAGCTAAAAGTTTAGCTCAGATGCAACTCAGGGAGTTAGTTGTGCAAGATAGTTGTTTTGGTCTGCCCACACAGAACTAAAATGTGGTCTAATGAGAGAAAATGTAGGAATAAAAAAAATCCCTCATCCAGGCAGAATAAAATCTGGCATCTATACTCACACAATATAACGGATTCAAAATTTAAACCCTCATTTCGTTATATTACACAAGTTTAAACATCACAACAAGTGGAAAAAAAACATTTGTGACTGAGCCTCTGTAACAACTCTAAATACTTTTTATACATAAACAGACACTGAGTGCCAAAGATTAGTAAATTATGTTCACTAATCCTGGACTGAAAAGAAAATGTTTTGTATGTTTGGATGAGTTGTGTAATTCCTGATGTTATACACAAAAAAACACCCCCAAAAGAATTCTCCGATACAGTTATTTGTTTTGTTCGCTAATTCTAAAAATAGCATCAACATTTAATTGATGACAGATCCGTGCATGTGAGCAGAGAGTACAAACACCAGCACATCCGATCCACGTTCTACACTACGACAGGCTCCGGCTGCTGCTCCGTGCCATCTGTGCTGGCAGGCCCCACCGCTAATTCTGCTGTCTCATATGCTGGCAATGTGATGAGGCAACAGATGGCTAACACATGAGCCACAACAATGCTAAACATTCAGACCTCAATAAGGCAGCGTTACGCTAACACCAGAACAAATACGTATTGCTTCTCATCGGAGGAAATGACTGAACTCACTGCGTCTTTTTGGCCTTGGGCTGTGAAGAGCTAAATCTTTATTTATTTTTTTTAAGTGAGCCATCTTTGGAATGGCTTGTCACTGCTGCAATATTTAATCCTGGCTTAAAATAGCTGCAGAAAGAAGCAGTACCAGGGTAAATAGGCCTGTTTTTAAGCACTTAGTCTTTTTGTGATGGCCTCAAAGACTGACCAGAAAATTGCCCTAATCTTTCACTTAAATTTCAAAATAGATTTTAAGGAAGAAAAAAAAGGACCACTTTAGAAACCGTTTTGATCTCACAACCACACTTGCAGTGCCTACATTCTATTCATTTCACCCAGTGTAGTTTTAATCGCTCAATAACGTCTCTATCAAGATCTCTATTGGGCTTTATCGTGGTTTTATACATCGCAATAAAATTAACTCGAGAAACCCACAGCGATTCAGTCCAAAAATAATAGCATGCAAATGAACTTTCCTTCAGCATTAGAATTTCTAAACATATGCACGGTTTTTGTCACTGATCTTGGTCACTGATGGGTAACAGAGCTGCAAACAGAAAATATGGCTCCATTCTGCTCCGCACACAGAGAGGAGATAAAGAGTGAAACCAAACACTGCCGTGGAAAAATAAGACGTGGGGAGCCGCACCAAAGCTGTTTGTTCAGTAAAAGAAAACCAGACTCGGTGCTACGATAGCACAGCTCAAGAGATCAAACTGTAATATTATAGCATCGTAGAAAGCTGAACTCGCTTCTATGAAGAGATGGTATTTAATAAATTATTACGCAAACTGTTGCTACTCACTTTGATGTTTCATTAGACCAATAATTTGTTTGCAAGGGGTTCTGCAAAGTGTCTTGAAACAGTAGAGGTTCTTAATTTCCTGTTCTGAGTCGCAGAGGTCGGAATCTTGTTGCTTGAGCTTTGAACGTGTTAAATCATTTGTGTTAAAAAATTTTCTCTCAAAAATAGCCACAGAGTCGTCGCTGTCAGCTCTACTCCTTTTTTTTACTTTGTTGTGGGCTTCTCCAACTTGTCTCATAGCTGTCCTCAAACACAGGGTTTCTTAACCTTTTTGACCTCGGAGCCCAATTTGTTGAACATAAAGTGGCACGAGGTCCAGTCAGACATTACAAATGTATGGATCAAAATGATAATTATTCTAAATCTTGGTTTAATTTTTATTGTATTTACATCATCATTTTACTACTAAACTATCATAACTAACATAACTAAATTAAATACACTTACAGTTTAAAAGTAAAACTCCTGTTAAATAATCACAGGACATGATTATGACAAACATTTTTATATTGTAACCTGCCCATAACAATTATATGAACAAATACAAAGGTCAGTCAACAGACCACTCCGGCTTATCAGCACAAAAATTTATATTTTTTTAACAAACAATAACAAAAATAAACAATTCAAAAAATAAAACTGTGGGCATAAAATAAATAAATTAAAAATGTTTAATGTAAATGTTTCAAACTGAAATAAACCTGTAAAAATACATTTGATAAAGTGCAAATGAAAATATAGCTGTATTGCAACTGTATTTGATAATGTTTTGAACTTTTAAAATATTGCATGGTAAAAACAGAAGCTGCACTTCATATTAGTGAAAAACTTTGGCATTTTTTGATGGGTTACCTTCAGTTTTGCTTCTTTTTTTAATTTAAAATAGTTTTCCATTCTCGGCAGGTTTCTATGGTTCTTCTTCTACATATTAAAAAGGTTTTTAAACATCTGAGTGGCGCACTACCGCTACTAGTGGTGAGAATGTGTATTGCACCTTATTCAAAATCAATGCGGTCCCACGGCCCTTTGCGGCCCAAAGTTAAAAACTGTTGTTATTTTGAGGCCCTCAAGGTGGCGCTCGCGGCCCATAGGTTAAGAATCTCTACTCTAAGAGATACGAGACATCATATCATCATTAAAGAGTAACTTACCCCAAAATTAACTTTTTTTAGCTGATAAACTGTCTAGAATGTGTCTAAAATGTTATATAGTACTGTTTC